ATCTATCTATCTATCTATCTATCTATCTATCTATCTATCTATCTATCCATCTATCCATCTATCCATCTATCCATCCATCCATCCATCCATCTATCAATAGATAGATAAGCACCTTTTATATCTATGAGTTATTTTGATAGAATGGCTGATGTCTGATATTTAACTTTATCGCCAATATCAGCCGATACCGATACCATGCCGATAATATAGTGCATCCCTAAACAGAATGGTAGCTAAAAGCTAAAAGAAGCAAAAGGCTTGCTAGATGCTAAAAGTAGCAACACAGAGGTTAAAAACTAAAATAACAACAAACAAAAAAAAACTAGCTAAAAGCTAGGGCAGGCAGGATAGTAGCTAAAGTTAAAGTAACAAAAATGTTAGCTAAAAACTAAAATAGCAAAAGGCTAGCTAAAAGGTGATGAAGCAAACATTAGCTAAAGGCTAAAAGGTGATGAAGCAAACGTTACCTAAAAACTAACAGTAGCAAAAGGCTTTAGACTGTAGAAGTAGCAGAATGTAGCTAAAGGCTAAATGCAGCAAAAACTAGCTAGAAGCTAAAGATTGCTGAACAGTAACTAAAAGCTCAAAACAGCAGAATAGTAGCTAAAAGCTAAAAGTAGCAAAAGGCTTGCTAGAAGCTAAAAGTAGCAGAATGTAGCTAAAAGTGAGATAAGAAGCCAAAAACAGAGCTAGTACGATGAGCCAGGTTTTAAAGAGAAGATTGTTTTCAAAGAAATTAAACAGATTTTTATGTATTTCCATGGAATAAATATTTCTAAAAAAAAATAAAAAAAAGATGGTGCTTTTTAAAAAGCATAAAAAATGTTACAAAACCTAAAAGTCAGACCACACATCTCGTGAATGAGCTGAACGTTTTAATACAAGAACTCAAAGTATTACCGTAGATTAAAAAGTAAATTAATTAATTTAAAAAAATATATATGATAACAGGAAAACGATGTGCGACTGTTTTGACCCGGAAACAGTTTCTAATAAACTTGTCTGTAAAAACAAGCGCAGCAGAGAAACGACACTTTTCCTCCCGACTCGACTGACCGCAGTGAGTTCGTTGGGCGACGCTCCGTGCTGCAGCAGCAAGTTGATGATGTGCGTGTGTCCCTGCTGTGCAGCCTGGTGCAGAGGTGTGTAGCCGTTCTGCACAGGAAGTTAGAAAACACATTTATATTTCACCATGTACGACCTCTGACCTCAGGTGATGTTTGCAACCAGGGCTCACCTTGGTCTTTGCGTTGACCTTCGCCTGATTCTTCAGCAGGAAGTTGACCATCTTCACGTTGCCATAGTGACAGGCCACATGGAGAGGGGTGTATCCCAGCTGATGGCACACAAAAAAAGGACGTCTTTCTTTTTTGATAGCTTTTTCCTTTTCAAATTTCAACACAGTCGCACGTAAAATGTAATTTAACAAAAATGTGACACAAGGAGGTGTTGCTGGACGTGTATTTTAAAATAAAACGGGTAAATAAAACTAATCTCGAATTTATCCGACACCCTAACGGACTTCCTCCCTCCACTTACTTTGGTCTCGGGGTCTATAATTGCTCCTTGGTTGACTAAAACCTCAGCAACGTTGACTTTATCCTCCTGGGCAGCCAGGTGGAGTGGAGTCAGACCAGACTGAGGATAACAAACACAGACAGGATGATAAAGTCAGGCAGAGGGAAATACAGCTGTGGAAGAAAAGATAAGGGGTTTGCACATCAGGCTGATGAAAGGTCAGGACTGGAAAAACCTCAAGAGCTGAAAGCCAGAAGGAATAATCGTCCAAATAACAGCGTCTCAGGTAAAGACTGTAAATAAATGACGATTCCTGGCGGTTGAATACATGTTGACACCACAGACACGCCCTCACTGTAAATATGGCTCCCAGAGCATCCTGTTTGTCTTCAGAGACAGAAAACCACAGGGTGTTTGGACACGCCGCACCTTGTTGCTCATGTTGACGGGGGCGTCTCGAGCCAGCAGCAGCGTCACGATGTCCACGTTGCCTTCCTGCGCCGCGAGGTGCAGCGGGGTGATCCCCTGCCGCGTCACTGCGCTGGTGGAGGCGCCGTACTCCAGTAAGGTGGTGGTGATCTCCATCTGGTTCTTCTTGGCCGCGATGTGCAGGGGAGTGTATCCATTCTGGAATCAGAGGAGAGATGATGCTAACGTGCAGTACTGGAAACACCAGGATAGATTAGAGGAACATCATTTACTTTTCAAAGAAAGAATAAAGACGTGCTCTGACTGTCATTACACGATAAGTCTGAGGTTTTTTAAATGCAACCTTTTAAAGACGGAGGATGGTTCATCCTTTCTAACACGCAACAGATTCATGCTATTATCTTTAGCTGACTGGACTGTACGCATCACTGGAATACACAAAAATAAACACCAGTTCAAACAGCTAAACCTGCGGCTGTTTGAGTCAACCCACCTGTTTTACAGAGGAGCAGAAGTTAATCCCTGAAAGAGAAATGCTTTTATTGTGTGAATGTTTATGAAGCATTCACTTTGTCGTCCGTTATTCTTCCCGATGCTTTTCAGCATCTTTCTCGTTCCACAACAAATCATAAATCAAAGCGTTCAGCTCGTTCAGGACAAAGCAAAGGTGCTGTGACTTCTGGTGTTGGTGCAACTTTAGCTTTTTTAAATATTTAGCTTTTTCTGACATTTTTTTCCTCATAGAAAATGAAATGAGCTCATTTTACATCCTTCAAATCTTTAGATCGGTTTACAACCTTTTACTGCTCCTTTCACTTTTTGTTCAGCTTCAGCTTCTTTGTGCAAATTTAAACATTTTTTCAGCTACTTTCAGCCGTTTTGTGCTCCTTTCTGCTAACTACAACATTTGTATGCTTCTTCTAACTTCTTCCTGCTAATTTCAACTTTTGAGGCTCCTTTCAGCTAATTTCTGTAAGTTTCAGCTTTTTCTGCTATATCAGCTTCTACTTAGCTGTTTTATGCTAATTTTAGCTTTTTATTAGCCATTTCCACATTTTTTGCACTCATTTCTACTATTTTCAATCTAATTGAGTATTTCTATTATTTTCAGCCTTATTTAGCAAAAATGTGCTCTCTCCACTTTCTTCTAGTAGTTTAAGCTTTTTTCTTCCTTTATAGCTACTTTTCATCTGTTTTTTTGTGCTAATTTCAGCTTATTTCAGCCTAATTGGGCAAGCCTGTGTTCTTTCTGCTTTCTTCTGCTCATTTAAGCTTGTTCTACCGTTTCAGCTACATTTTTAGCATTTTAGCTAGTTGCAGCCGTTTTCAGATAAATGTACACTTTTCTTGGTAATATATGCTCCTTTCAGCTTAATTAACTTAATTCTGCTAATTTAAGCTTCTTATGCTCCTTTCAGCTTTTTTCTACTAGTTTCAGCTTTTTCTGCTATTTCAGCTACTATTTAGCCGTTTTATGCTAATTTTAGCTTTTTCAGTTAATTCCTCATTTTTTAGCTCATTTGAGCTCTTTTTGCTTCCTTCTGATAGTTTAAGCTTCTTTCTGCCTTTTTAGCTATTTTCTGCCAATTTCGGGTTTTTAGCTGATTTCCTAACTTTTGTGCTCATTTCTGCTTATTGAAAGCTAATTCAGCAAATATGCATTCTTTCTGCTTTCTTCTTCTAATGGTTTGTTTTTAAATTTCAGCTACATTTTAGCATATTTTTAGCTAATTTTAGCTGTTCGTCAGCAAGTTCTTCTGCAATGCATTTTCACAGGAAATGCAATTTCTGTAGTTTTATTTTTTTAAACCGATTAAAACTAAACGTATGCATTTACCTACAGATTTAGACCAAATGTATTCTGATGGAACTTTTTCACCCCCAACAAAGCTCACGAGACTCCCTCACCTGTTCGTGCTTCAGGAAGAGACTTTTGTTACGATTACTATGTCGTGATATCGAGCAAGTAATATTTTTTACTCTGTTTAGTCTGATTCATGCTCAGAAAGTGATGGAACGCTCTTTAAACACTTAAAATAATCACTGGATGAACAATTACAACGTTTAGAGTAAACCTGATTCAAGATGGACGCCATGCCTAACTAAAATTAGCAAACAGCTATAGATCGGTCAGTTTTACAGCTAACAAGCTAAATATGGGCATGGTAGTAGCTGAGAGTCATTCACAACACATACTTTGAGCGCTACATGCTGTGTAGGGTCTTGTGGTCCAAGATGATTTTTACAACTCCTTTTTATTTGCTTTGATGATTTGTACTCGCAATTGTTTTTATATTTAGGAACATTTAGCCTGAATTTGTTGTTAAACCGTTGACTCGATGAAATGTTAAAGTCACGTTCACTGCTCAGTGGGAACTAGTCGTTCACTGGAGGGGCCGATTTTTTCACATGAACAAAAACCATTTCCTGATTCGATCCGATCGTCGATTCTGTCAGGAGGTGGTGATTGGCTGATTTCTGGGGCGGCCCGTTGTGATTGGACGCCGCCAGAGGAGAGGAGATCATTTAAACTGCATGTGAGTGACTAACTGGGTCAGCCTGGCCTCATCCTGGACCACAGACGATGCGTTTGGGAACAATCGATTTAAACTGGACACACTCGGACTCCTACCTTCGCAGCGGCGTGAGGAGACGCTCCCTGTTTGAGCAGGAGCAGCGCCACCTTCTGGTTGTCATAGTGCGCTGCCACATGCAGTGGAGTTAGTCCACTCTGAGCACAGACACGAGCAGCGGTTAGACGGTGGCTCACGGAGCAGACATGAAGCACACACTGCATAATGTAAGATCAGAGCATAAACACACGTCACCTTCCCAGCAGCGTCAGGCGGAGCGGTTTTCTGCAGCAGCAGGTTAGCCACCTCCATCTTGCCATACTTGGCTGCAACATGCAGAGGAGTGAAGCCCTTCTGGAGGAACACGAGACAACACCAGGGTCATACTCTGAGCAGCACAAACACGTGAGTCATCTGCACAATTAAAGTGTCACTGATAGCCCCGGCTGCTGAAAATGACAAAACACATGTTCAAGATGAGGAAACGAAAGGATTCTTTAGCTATGAGGTCAAACCAACAGGACTTTTTTGGGCGGGCGATTACGTGTGCATGAAAAGTGAGAGAAGCCTAAACTTTACGAGCTTCAAATTCGCCTCTTTAATGAGTAAAACTCCATTATGACGTTTTATAAATCAGTTTTATTTGGTGAATTTACACAACTCTTTGTTAGACTTAACTGTCTTCAACTCCAATTGTCCGTTAGCATATCTCTTTCCCTCGTTTGCGTTTTACAATCTATTTTTCTTATTCTACTGGCCGATAATCACTGAAGTCACACGTAACCTTTGACACAAAAAAGTTAAACAGCCTTTACGCCATTTTAAAAGATGCTAAAACAATTATAAACTATATTTTAACAACCTGTAGTATTAAAACGTTTAAGGTTTATCTGTAGTCAGTGGGGTTTAGTGAGCAACAAGAGCATCTTTAATATTTAGTTATTTAACAAAACGTCTAAATTTTGAGATTACAGTTGTAATCTCTTCTTTATCACGGGGGCTTCCGTTCTCGGGCCCCCCCACGATAAGTGAAAAACCGCAAAGGTGGGATAGTAGTACAAGTAGTAAGTAGATATATAAAGGCATTTTAAACCAGTCCCACACGCTTGCAATATTCTAAACAATGTTTTTAAACTCTAAACGCTCTTAAAGAGCACAGAATGTCATGATTTCAGCTCTCGGCCACGCCCACTTCTCCGCTGCAGGGCGGCAATCATGACAGGCTGCAGGAGGGAGCTTCTCCCTGCACCTGTGGGCTGCACACAGGTGCTAAATAATTTAAAATAATTTATTTTAAATTTTAAAAAAATCCATGCTGATCGTGCGGCTCATCCAACAATCAGCCAATTGTGTGTCATGCCCAATCTTACTTTGAAAATCCACAAAGTAGAGAAGGACTACTGTCTCTCTAGAAAAAAAAAAAACTAAAAATATTTATTTTAAAAAGCAACAAGTGATGTCGGCTATGGACTAAACCATCATATTTGAGCCGATTCTTCCTCAAACTGTTGCAACACCTCAGATAAAACAGACTTTTTAATAGAAACGGAGCTGATTGTTTGAAGACTGTTTTGGGGGGAGGTTTTAAACTTTATGATCCAACTCTTCCACAGACAGACAGAAACCATCTGACTGCAGCAGCTCCAACTATTACATCATCAACACCCCAACAGCTCCAGCTCTCTTTAAGTTTACTCCTCCGACCAGTATGTTGGAGTGAGCAGATCCACCTGTGCAGCCATTCCTCCGTCACGTCTCGTTTACCTTCGTAGTGATGGCCAGGCTGGCCCCCTGATCCAGCAGAGCTGTAGCCACGTCCCTGTGGCCCTCCCTGGCTGCCAGGTGCAGAGGCGTGTATCCAGAGATCGTTGTGGCGTCGGGGCTCGCCCCGTTGGCCAGCAGCTGCTGCACGATGTCGGGCTTACCGAGACGACTGGAGATGTGCAGCGGAGTCTGATCATCCTGACGCAGGAGACGGAAAGAAAACAACGCGTTAGGAGACGTTTGCATGTAGGATCAGCACCCAGCTGATACGATTTACTTAATGATGGCTATTAAACCAATATTTAAAGCTTTCAAGTAATCAGTGAAATCAAATCCATTTAAAAAGACCAATAGATTTGGTAGCAAAAAAGACAAAACAATGTGCTTATATGTGTCAAATCACTGCAAAACCACAAAAGATCCACAGGTTTAGATCATTTTACTCGTGCACTCTTTACACACAGATGTGTTTGCATGTAAGAAACATTGCAAATTTTAAAACGTCCAAAGTCCATTATTTAGTCTAATAAATACACAATCTTATACTAACTGTTTTGTGTGGTAGGCCTAAAAAAATACATTTGTTGCACTGCATTTCCTCATTTTAAACCAATCAGAGCCCAGCAGGTGGTATCTGCACCAACTTTAAATCTTTCTTTAGCTCCTCTTAAAACAAACGGAACTGCTGAGAATGCACCCATCAGGTTCGACACCTGGGAGCAATTTGAACGTGTGTGAATGTTCATGAAGCGTTCGCTCTTTTGTGATCCAGTTTTCTTCTGTGTGTTTTTCAGCATCTTTCTCATTTCACAATTTTTGTGCTTTTTCAACAAATCATAAATCAAAACGTTCAGCTCTTTCAGGACGGTCCTGCTATGACTTTTGGTATTGGTGCAACTTTAGCTTTTTAAAATATTTAGCCTTTTTTGCCATTTTTTTTATCTCATAGAAAATGAGTTGAGCTCATTTTACATCCTTCAGATCTTTAGATCTGTTTACAGTCTTTTATTGCTCCTTTCACTTTTTGTTCTGATTCAGCTTCCTTGTGCAAATTTAAACACCTTTCAGCTACCTTCAGCTAATTTCAGCTGTTTTGTGCTCATGTCAGATTATTTCTGCTAACTATAATAGTTTTGTGCTTCTTCTAACTTCATTCTAGTTCATTTCAGCTTGTTATGCTCATTTCAGCTGATTTCTGAAAGTTAAAGCTTTTTTTTTTTTTTGGCTATTTCAGCTACAATTTAGCAGTTTTTATGCTAATTTGAGCTTTTTCAGTTAATTCCACATTTTTTACACTCAAACTTTTTTCAGTCTAACTCAGCTAAATTGTACTCTCTCCATTTCCTTCTAGTAATTTAAGCTTCTTTCTGCCCTTCTAGCTACCTTTCAGCTGTTTTTTTTATTGCTAATTTCAGCTTTTTTCAGATAATTTACACTTTTTGTGCTCATTTCTGCTTCTTTCAGCCTATTTGGGCAAAACTGTGCTCTTTCCATTTCCTTCTGCTAATTTAAGTGTGCTCTACCCTTTCAGCTAACACTTTAGCATTGTTTATATATTTTCAGCTGTTTTCAGATTAATTCAAGTTTTTAGTGGTAATTTCTGCTACTTTCAGCCTTATTTCTGCTCATTTCAACTTGGCATGCTTCTGTCAGGTTATTTCCACTAGTTTCAGCTTTTTCTGCTATTTCAGCTATTATTTAGCCATTTTGTGCTAAATTTAGCTTTTCCAGCTAATTTCCATTTTTCTTTTTTAGCTTATTTCAGATCCTTCTACTTCCTTCTGGGAGCTTCTTTCTGTCTTTTCAGCTATTTTTTTTAGCTAATTTCAGCTTTTTTAACTATCTACCTAATTTATGTGCTCATTTCTGCTTATTTAAACCTAATTCAGCAAATATGTGGTTTTTTATGCTTTCTTCTGCTAACTTAGACTTGCTCTTCCATTTCAGCTACATTTCAGCATGCTTTTAGCTACGTTTCAGCTGCTTTTTTTAGCAAGTTCTTCAGCAATAAGAATTCACACTGCATTTTCGAAGGAAATGCAATTTCTCTAGTTACTTTTAGCTGTTTGTTTATCTCTGGGTGGTTGTGTATCCCTAGTTTTTAAAAGGTTCTACAATCAGAACCTTGTTTATTTTCCAAATATGACAAAATCTTGTGCACAACGCAAAAAAGTGCGAAGAAAAATGTATAGTTTATTCAAATCAATGTTCTTTTTAAAATAATCACATATTTTACGCACAACCAAAGTAAAATGAGAAATCTCTTTGAAAGTGTAAAACACGAGCTCTTTAAGAAAACCAAACATTAGTGTGGACGAGTGGTTCTGCTCTGTAGCAACGATCATTGGACCTTCAGTGGCTCCGACTCCCATCCTCAGTGGAAATGTTTCGGTTGACAGTAACAGCCTACCTTGGCCTTGGCATCGACCCGCGCCCCGTTCTGGACCAGGTATCGGACCACGCCGGACTGCCCGGCCCTCGCTGCCATGTGGAGCGCCGTCTCCCCCCTCTGAGAAACGAGAGACGGGTTCAGAGTCGTTTCAAAGTTTTCAACAACACTCCCACATTTTGGTTTAGAGAAGAAGCAGGAAGCAAAGCGAGTCAGACTGATTCCCCTTTTTCTTTCCACACACTATGACGCCCCCGTTTCCGTTTCTATGGTAACCAGACCACAAACAGAGCGTAGGCGACTCGATAGTTTTAGCTGAGCAGTCTCTTCCCTCTCTGGTTGTTTCCTCATCTTCTGAGACCTTCAGCCCCTCGTCTTCGTAGGGATGTCTGGAGCCTCGTAGGACGACAGAAAGGGGTTCTTACAAACGCACATGTGGCTTTAATAAACTTAATCTTCCTTTAAACTAATTAGTTGTGCGCTCAACACAAATTACAGCATTTTGGAGGCGGTGCAGGAAAATTGCCTCAGAGGAATTTGTCATCATAAAAAAATCTGTGAAAACATTTAAAGCATTTCAAATCTGCTTGTAGACACACACAAAAAAAGACTAACGCTAAATTAGAAGTTACACAACAACTTGAGCGCAGATTTAGATTCATGCTTTGGATCGCATGGTGAATCTATACGTCGCTTTCTGACAGCTGTAGTTTTTGAAAGATAAATTATTCAAATGAAACAATGCAAGAAGTTTAGAGAAAACTAAAGTTCCTCTAGCGCTGTTAGAAACTTGTACAGATCAAAATCTCGCAGACCAAACTGGACACTGGCTTTTTGAGAAAATTCACAAACAGAATTAATCTAAATTAACTTCACAAGTCTAAACCTGGACTGTTAAACTGATTTTCTCAGGAATAAATGAGTAGACAAAGTGCATAAAATGTAGATGAGTTTAATTATAAGAATTAAAGAAAAAATCAAAAGTACGGTAAAAACATGAAATTTATGGTTTTACTAAATATTTGAATAAATAAATTATATAATAATATATAATAATTCTGACAAAGGAACGTATATAAAACATTGATTATCGGCCAAAAATCCAATATCGTGCATCCTTACTCAATATTCTCAACATTTTTGCATATTCAGTAATTATCAGGAGAAATCTTACAACTTTTAACTCGTTCAAGCCTCCTGCTGTCCTTGGGTCAAAAATGACCTTCAAAGCCTCAGTTTTAAGGCCAAGTCCTCATACGTCATTTTGAACCAAGGGCAGCAGGAGGGTTAATATATGAACAAAGTCATTTTTGAGCAGCTGCGGCTCAGGAGGAAAATAAAGTTGTTTACTAACTGGAAGTTTGGCCAATGGAGCGATAGGAAGGATGCAAGATGAGGGACTTGGTGAACTCACCACGTTGCTTGTGTTTGGTGAGGCTCCGTGGTGGATCAGCTGGTGGACAATGTTTTCATGTCCCATGAAAGCTGCGACGTGGATCGGCGTCAGGCCAGACTGGAGGGGGAGACACAAAAAATTTAAAAAATTTACAAAATCTTTTTTATTTCAAACGCAGCTCAACAGTGTGTTGACAGGATTACGAATAAAGTCAGACTGAATTGACTACAAGATGTCGAGGAACAAGGAGAGGATTTTACTGCCCAACACAAGTAAAGCCTTTAATATAAAAACTAGGGGTGCACCGATAAATCTGCACCGATTTTCTTAATTTGGGGAAATTGGCGGATACTTGCATTAGAAACTGATTTTATTGATTTTTTTGTTTGTTTTAACAACAATTGTCTGAAATTCATTTATATTTCAGAGCACTACGTCATGGTCAGTTAAAACAAGTTTGTATTGTTTCTAGGATATTGTTCAAGGGTATGTTTTTCAACAAAATAATATTGGAAAATTGAAGGTGCAATGTGACCTTTTAACACCGGACAGTGTCGCTTATAAAACACAATCGGAATCGGCAGGTCAGATTTTTTAGAAATCGGTGATCGGCCAGAAAACTGCAATCGGTGCACCCCTAATAAAAACTGCATTTCTCAAAAAATATAACAGCCATCCATTCGTCCATCCATCCATCTGTCCATACATTCGTCCATCTCCTGCTTGTTCTGGAGAAGGGTCACGGGGCAGCAGTTTGAGCAGGGAGGTCCAGACATCTCTTTCCACAGCCACCTCTTCCAGCTCTTCTGGGGGAACCCCGAGGCGTTCCCAGGACAACAGAGAGACATGGTCTCTCCAGCGTGTCCTGGGTCTTCATCGGGGCCTCTTCCCAGTTGGACATGCCTGAAGCACCTCCCAAGGGAGGTACCCAAGAAGCATCCTTACCAGATGCCCGAACCACCTCAACTGACTCCTCTCGATATGGAGGAGCAGCAGTTCTACTCCAAGTCTCTCCTGGATAACTGAACTTCTCACCCTATTTCTGAGAGAGAATCCAACTGTCCTTGGAAGAAAACATATTTTGACCATCTGTATCCACAATCTCATTCTTTCGGTCACTACCCAGAGTTCGTGGCTATAGGTGAGGGTAGGAACATGAGATTGACCGGTAAACAGAGACCTTCGACTTACAGATCAGCTCCCTCTTAACCTCAACAGAGTCTGCAATACTGCAGATTCTGCACCGATCCATCTTCAATCTCCTCCTTCATTCCTCCCTAATTTGTGAACAAAACCCCGAGATACTTGAACTCCTCCACTTGAGGCAGAACGTCGCCCTCGACCTGAAGAGAGCAATCCACCCTTTTCCAACTGAGGACCATGGCCTCAGATGTGGAGGTGCTGATCCTCATCCCAGCTGCTTCACACTCAGCTGTGAACTTCTCCAGTGAGAGCTGAAGATCACGGCATGATGGCGCCAACAGGACCACATCATCTGCAAAGAGCAGAGATGGAATACTGAGGCCACCAAACCGGACTCCATCCACCCCCTGCTGCACCAAGAAATTCTGTTCATGAAAGTTATGAACAAAACAACGGGCAGCCCCGGCAGAGTCCAACTCCCACCCTGAAGGGTCCGACTTACTGCCGGCAATTCGAACCAAACTCTTGCACCACTTGTATAGAAACCAAACAGCCCGTAGCAATGCATCACATACTCAGAGTACCCTCACAGTGTACCTTGTTGAACATGGTTGAATGACTTCTCAAAGCCCACAAAACACATGTAGACTGGATGGGCAAACTCCCATGAACCCCTCAAAGACCTTAGTGAGGGTAAAGAGCTAGTCCAGTGTTCCATGGCCAGGACAGAACCCACATTGTTCCTCCTGGATCTGAGATTCGACAAACGATCAGACTCGCTTCTCCAGTACCCCTTAATATACCTTACCAGAGAGAAGAAGGAAAGTGATGCCCCTTTAATTGGAGCACACCCTCTGTCCCCCTTTTTGAAGAGGGGAACCACCACCCCAGTTTGCCAACCCAGTGGCACTCCCCCCAATATCCACACAATGTTACAAAGGTGTGTCAACCAAGACAGCCCTGCAACATCCAGAGCCTTGAGGAACTCAGTAAGGACCTCATTCACTCTCTGAGCCCTGCCGCTGTGGAGCTTTTTAACTGCCTTGGTGACCTCAACCTTGGTTATGGACCGCCCAGCCCTGAAATGGACCGACCATCCCCGAAGTCCCCAGAGTCAGCTTCCTCCATGGAAAACATGCTGGTGGGATTGCAAAGGTCCAAGAAGTATTCCTTCCACTTTCCGATGACATCACTTGTTAAGGTCAACAGCACCCCACTCTCACTAAACACAGTGTTGCTAAAATGCTGCTTTCCCCGCCTTAGCTGCCAGATGGTTTGCTAGAATCTCCTTGGAGCTGAACAAGAGCTTCTATCGAAGACGTCATCAAACTTCTCCCACATCTGAGCTTTTTCCTCAGCAACAGCCAGTACTGCAGCCTGCTTGATCTGCCAATACTCTTCAAATGCCACCGGGATCCTACCAGCCAACAAGGCCTGATAGGACTCCTTCATGTAACTGACACCTTGATATAAATAGTTTCTGACCAAAAAAAGGGTTCAAAACCTCTCCTATTCAGATAAATAAGAATTAGTTAATTTGCACATTTTTCTTATATCCTCATTCTTTAAAAGAAAATGGGAGTCCCACAGGGATTCGTTGTAAGATCACTGTTTTTTTTTACACATAAACCATGTAAAAGACTGGTGTCTAAATTCACGAGGATTAAACAGTCATTTATCCAGTTTCAGATAAACTGTCACTGCACTTAAAAATTAACGTTCGAAAAAAAAAAAAAAAGATCCAAAGGTATCTTTCTGGAAGATGATCTGGGTCAAACAAATTCGGCAATAAAATTAATGGACTATCTAACTTTAGGTAATTGAGTTTATTTAAAATCAAAATCATCAAATGCTAAAGAAGTTTCTAATCTGTAAACTTTCAGATTAGAAACTCATCATTTGATGCTGCAATAATATGTTTGCATTACATTTTAGCCATTGTACGTGAACCCTGACGTGATCAAGTACATAAAAATTAGACTATCTGACAGTATCAAGCACACCGGGTACAGATATGTCACTGAAACTGACAGCTTGGTGCTTTCATCACACACATATCTTCAGAAACACACACACCCTTACCTCTGTGACGGCCTGTAGAGACGCTCCATGCTTCAGAAGCAGCTCCATCACTTTGAGTCTGTTTTTCTTACAGGCAATGTGCAGCGGAGTAAAACCATTCTAAGACACACAAAACCCCAAAACAAATACATTAAAAAGAATAAAAGTATTCCTAACAAATCTGTGTGTGCTGATCCTACAAAACAAAGAAGCTTTAGTGTTTTTTTCAAAACCTTCTTAAAAAAACCAGGCCAACGTGTGGAAACAATCAAGTTCCCTCTAAGCTATAAACCCATTCTGCTCTAAAATAGATACTTTTCCCTACAACTCAACTTGTACCCACCCTCCTCCCACACACTGTTACTTTGAGGTTTCTTGCCGAGTTGTATGACTTCATTTTCCAATCCATGTCCTTTTCCCCCTCCCTATTCTCTTCAGCTATAAAGTCCCAGCGCTCCAACCACACCCAGACTTTTTTCATTACAGAGCGCAAATCCTGCTCTTACATCAGAAAACTGGCTGTGGATATAAATATATACTTTTTTCTATTTTCCTAAGTGTTTCCCCTCTTGTCCTTTGTTCTGTTCTGTGCCTTTTCTTCTGAATTTCTGAGCTAAACAAGAAGAAAATTAAGTTTGTTCTCACAAGCAATGCACAAGTCTTAACCCCACTTCCTTCTCCTTACCAGTGCCTTAGCGTTGGGGTTGGCCTTCTTGTCCAAAATGACCTTCGCCACTTTGTAGTGGCCACAGTGGGCGGCCACGTGCAGCGCCGTCAGGTAGTCGTTGGTCACGTCGTCCACAGGAACCTCGTGGTGCAGCAACAGCTGGACACAGTTGAGGTGGTCGCCCTGTGTTGCCATGTGGAGGGGAGATAGACCGTTCTGCAGAGAAAAATGGTAAATAGTAAATGCACTGTACTTATATAGCACCTTTCCTTCTAATCAAGATACTCTAAGTGCTTTACAACACAATCTGAGCCCTCTTTTAGACATTCATACAGCACTCTTCTAGATCTATACAAAGATAATTGAACAAATCATTCTAAAGAGACTAATCAGAGCTTTTCAGATCATATTCATACACTGATAGGACACACATCGGAGGCAGTGTGGCTTGCCCAGGGGCACTTCAAAGTGACCGCTGGAGAATCAAACCCCACAACTCTCCCACTGAAGAACGACTGCTCTAATCACTCAGCCACAGCTGCCCCCCAAAAACAAGGCAAAGTCCCACTTTAGTTGTGTATTATGAAATTAACAGGGGTCGTGAACGATCGGCACCAGATATTCAGACAAGGGGAAAAATGAGACACACAGAGACTGTTACTGCTAGGAATAATAGTGTCATTTATTAACCTGCCACAGAAAACAGCCAAGCAAAAACATGTACACTCGTACACTCTTAACACACAAATTGATATGAAAGAGCCTCTCACCATGACACTGGCCGGGAAGTCTGCCGTGGACTAACGCGTGAGTGCCCGGCGCAATTTTGATGTGATTCTTCTTTACCCTGGTCGAAAACGACTTCCCGGCCAGTGTCACGGTGAGAGGCTCTTTCATATCAATTTGTGTGTTAAAGAGTGTACAAGTGTACATGTTTGCTTGGCTGTTTTTCTGTGGCAGATTAATAAATGACACTTATTTCTAGCAGAAAATAGTCTCTTTGTGTCTCATTTTTCCCCTTGTCTGAATATCTGGTGCCGATCGTTCACGACCCCTGTTAATTTCATAATACAAGTTGGTAGTGTACATTTTTTTTAGCATGATTTTTAGTAACTAGATGAGCTAAACGAGGGGAAAAGAGAGAAGCTGATGGTGCACCTTGGTCTTTGAAAGTATTGGAGCTCCTCTGTTCAGCAACATCTCCACCACCTGCTCATGGCCACTTCTGGCTCCACAGTGGAGCGGAGTTAGACCGTCCTGTGAAACAGTCGGCTGGCAATCAGATTTGAACTCGATAACATGAACAGCCTCATTAAACAGCATAATGGTAATGGTGTTTATACCTTGGTCCGTGCATCTATCTTGGCCCCCCTCTCCAGCAGCAGTCGCACCATGTTAGTGTTTCCACGTTTGGATGCTACATGCAGTGGCGTGATGTCATTCTGCAGAGAAGGTGAAGCAACATTCAGTCACTCAGCTGTACAGAGGAGAAAACTTACAAGAACCCGATCTGAAAGAACGTGATGATGGGGACAGCTGTGAATGCACTGAGTGCAGGTTTCCTCTCGTCTGATGGGACTCCAAGGAAGCTGTGATTTTCATACATGCTGCATTCAGCATTCACCTTTGAACACAGTTATCTTTCACAGAACAACGGAGCATGCGTGGTGAAGAAAAATGATGAAATATCCCCCTCTAGAGGAAAATAACCAGTGCAGTTGCACCATTTTCAGATCTTCTGTTGGTGTCTTAAAGTTCTGTAGTTCTTCATAAATAAAGCGGTACTTCTGTTTGCAAGTATTGCGGTGCTAACCATGTCCAGAACTTTGATGTCTGTATGGATTTAAAGAAAACAACCGAGTTCTACTAAACGCAGTCCTGCAGGATCCGTTTTTGGCTCGGCGTGTATGAATTTATTTCCCAGTAGTTATATGTAGCAAAACAAATGTCAAACAATTATAGCTGAAGACAAACACCTTCAGTGAACAGTAATTCAAGCGTTCCATGAAACTACGACCTTAAAGGAATGCATAGCGCCTTCTGCCTTAGATGGGGGTGGGCAACAACCATTCAGCCTCCACCTTAAAGATCCAGCCCACATTTCTACAAGCTCCCACAGAAGAAAGGCGCATGAGTATTTTCATGAGAGAGCAGAGGGACAGAGCAGCTGAAGAATCACACACCGCACAGCAAGCAAGGCACCTACCCTCGCCTTAAAGTCCACCGCCGCCCCTCTGTTGAGCAGCAGCGTCGCTACGTTGATGTTGCCGTAGTGAGCCGCAATATGGAGAGGAGTGAAGCCGCTCTGAGAGGGACAAGACAGACACACAGAAGGAGGAAGAGAACATTTTATAAAAAGGTAGAAAAAGGAAAGAAAGTGTGTCTCGTGAGCCGTGAGCAAAGCATGGTGGGATTTTACGTAGAACAGGAGCTGGCCAAAAGAAGGACTACAGAGCAGCACAAACCCAAGCTGAGCAGAAGGCAAACATGCTGTAAAAACTTCAAAATGAGGTTAAATTGCCACTTTTACCGCCATAGCAAAATTAAACTTGGATACTTTTTAGTCAGCTAGTTTATTGAAAAGCAATAAAAACAAAAGAGAATGCACGAAGCAGTGGTGACACATTTTTAGCACTCATGCTTGCAGACGAGGACGCCCTACTTGGTGACCCAAATTACCAATATCAAGAAACGTTACTGACTAGTACATTATCTCCTTCAATGTTAAATAAGTTGATTAAATACACTGTTTTACAAACTGGTGGTAAAAAAAATTTTCTCCAATCTTTTATCTTGTTAATAAAAATAAGTCCAGAACAAACTAGCTGTAAGCTTATTAAAAACAACACAGTTAAATTATTATCACAACTCTGTCATTAAATAAAAAGTATTAACTATGTACATAAAAAAATTCTGGGACATGTAGAAGTCAGTCTGCACAATATAGCAAAAATCTAGTCATATTGCAATATCAATGTGTGCAATAGCAGAGTTGCAAAAGACTGCTTGGACTGTTTTGAATCAGAGACTGTTGGATTTTTAGTAGGGATGCACGATATTATCGGCATAGCATCGGTATCGGCTGATATTAGCGATAAAGTTGAATATCGGACATTCCATCAAAATGATCACCAATATAAAAGGCGCTCTTGTTTTATGACAACCCAGTGACAAGGATGCCTGCAGCACCAGTACAATGTTATGACATCACGCACGCCGTTGAGTTTAGATTTGTTAAAATATGCAAATTTGCACTGTTGTTGTGTTAAAGAGAGTAAATGTCATGAATAAATTTGACATTAAACATAATCCAAGTTGAAGTGTTGCATCTTTTTCAGCCCCGTTTTTGGCATTTGCATTAGGTAGCAGGCCATATTGACAAAGACCATGTAGAATAATGTAGTGTTTTAATTCCACAGCAGAGAAAGCTCTGTAAGTAGGTCTAGGGAAAAATATCGGTATTGGTATCGGTTATTGGCCAAATAAGTTTTAACATCGGCATATCGGATATCGGCCAAAAATCCAATATTGGGCATATCAAATTTTTAGTGCTAAACATTCATGCTCTGCATCCCAAGATTATTTTTGGACATTTTGACAATTTTCTACAGTTTTTCCTGCCCTGGTATTGGTCTAATTTAAGTCTAACTTGTAAATTGTTCATATAGACCTTCATTTTTTTAGTAAAGGAAATCATAGCACAAATAAACACTGTTTAGGGTTGAGGCGGAGGTGGGAATAAACATACACAATATAAACAAACAAGCTCCTGTTCAGATCCTTTGTAGTAGGGTTCTATCATAGAGTCAGGCACATTAATATCTTACCTGTTGTACATAGCTCTTGGAACAACCCTACCTTGAAGAAACAGGTTTAGGTCTTTTTTCTAACTTAGTTCGTTTTTTCACGATGAGAAACAATTCAGCGTGACCAACTACGGAAGCTCCAATGACATCACGTCTGTCTGAGAGACCACTGAGCCATACTTAGAGCTCCGCCCCCATCATGATAACACAGTCAACTGGCCACCTCCCACTCATTCTCGTTTTCTTCCTGTGAGAAACTACAACTAAGTTCCCTCAGTGCATTCAGGCTAGCTAGGTTAGCTGCTAAACTGTTCCCTGTAAACTGCATCTCGTAAAGGAGCATGTCATCAAACGCAGTTCCTGGCTTCAGTTTTGAATTGTGCTGAATAAGTTGGCTCTTCGTGAGAAGTATCTTTGTTACGGTTAGGAGTGACAACCGCCAAGGCGAGATGTTCCCACTGCCGCTTGGTTTTAAGAAACTGAGCAGTTGCAGGTGTACCTGGAGCTAATGCTTCAAGGTGAGCTAGCATTCCTTCAGTGCAGCATTAGCTTAGTAGCTTTAACGTTTGTTTCCAACTAATGTGCTACGATGAGCAGCTTTAGCCTAAGTTAGCCCAGTTTTAAGCTCACTGCTAGCACTAGCGATGAACAGCTAATGCGTCATAACTTAAATCCCCTTCCTTCACCATGGCTACGGCCCAACATGCGCAAGCATCACTGGCAAAACCACAGGTGTGTCCACACTGCTCCTCCATGTCAGAAAAATTCTTAGAAGGGATGCTGAGAGTGGCATTTGCGAACAGCCAGGACCCGTGCCTGTCCGTAACCATGGTAACAGGTGACGGACATCAGCCACAAGCTGGGCAGGCATGACGGAAAAGGGGTCCCCGCATTTCGAAGAGCTGGTGGACAGCGGGGAACTTGAAACAGGTCTGAAGGAGGCAGATGCTGATGCTAACTCCGATTTCCTGGACATGGAGAAGGAGGATGACTCCACCTTCATGGCTTCATACTCGAAACCACTATGCAGGGCTGGGAGGGTGCATCTCCAGTGGATAGTGACCTGTATGATGTCTGCAGGTGGGCAGCTTCAAAATGGAGCATAATAGATCTTTTAGCGTACCGTTTGGTGTTTGTTTAGCGTACACCGTAGATCCTTATTTACCGTTTATTTTTATACTTTATATTTTGCTATTTTTTGGTGTAACTGGGACTCTGTGCACATAATTGTGTTCCACCTCATGTACCATGTGATGAAATGACAACAAAGATGACTTGAACTTGGACTTGAATTTATAAATAAAACTTGTATAATATAATAAAATAAGCAGTATTAATCTCTCAGTGAGAGTTGTATCAAACACGGCAACACTCATCTCAAGTCAGGGCTGAGAGTTAAGGCCAAGCGTGGACCTCAACATAAATATAGGTCGTACATAGGCAGCTTTAAAACGTAACTACTAGCATACATTAAAAAATAAACAAATTAAAATAAATAAATAAAAACAAATACATTCATCTAAAATAACTCAACATAACAGAAATTTAATTTCTGTAGAAAGCCGCTGCATACACACAAAGCAATGGCCAAATGTGATGCAGGTCTGAAAACAGGCACAGGTGGGACGCCAAAGCATTCATGCCAGCATTTAGAGTTCATGCTAGCAGACAGAAAGCTTTGCAGTGGGTGACCGTGAATGAGAAGAGGGAAGAAGGAAAAGGAGGAAACGTAAAGAAGATGTACCTCTGTTGTCCTATTCACCATCATCTGGAAAGGGAAAAGAAAAAAGGGGGGGGGGGGAGGAAGAGGAGAGGTTGGGGAGGAATTAGGAACAAATCAAAAGAGGAAAAGTTGCAAAGGAAGAGAGAATGGGGGGGTGGGGGTGTTAGTGCACCACAACAAGAACTGCAGCAACACCGACACGGCTGCACCAAGCTGTTCGATGGATGTGGGACAATGAAGACAAAAATAAAAATAAAACGAAACAGAAGTTCACGCAACTCAATGACGGTCGACAACTCTGCTCTCTCTCTCAGCTGCATCCATTCTTATTTTAGAATTGGTCCTAAATTACTGTTTAATGTCATTTTTATTAAAAAACGTGCTCAGTGGAAAAGGTCTAAAATCTTTACAGATAAGCTCTCCTTCGATGGAGTTTTAATGAGTTGGGGTAAAGTTGGTGTATTTTCACTGAGAATTAGTTTTCTCTAAAGGGAGGAAACAACACAATTATTTCCAAACAGAAATAGGCAGGTTTATAAAAAGAAGAAGAGAAAAATATTTTCCAGCCTATAAGTCGCACCTTTTCGCTTAATTTGCATGCCCTGCGACTTACACGATGAAGCAACTTACTTATGGATTTTTTTCCATATTTATAAACCAGTTTTTGACTGAGATATAACTGTTTTCATTCATTCTGACTGAAAATATTGAACAATAACATTTTCAGCCACTAGATGGCACTCGAGATGTATGGCATGCCGTTGTGTCATGCAATATGTAAAAGTGGCTATATAGATAGAGAACTTTACTAATTGGCCTTTTATGTATATGAATGTGTCTGTAAAGTGCCCGGAGACAACTTTGTTGTGATTTGGTGCTTTGTAAATAAACTGAAATGAAGTGAATTGAATTAATGACACAATCGGCTTGCCATACAAAGCCACCTTCGTCCAGCTGGAGCAACCGTCAAATCAGCTTTATTTCGTTGCACCGCCCCGATGAGATGCAGCTGATTTGACCGTCAAAGTGCATTTATTAAGTAAAAGTTCAACCGAGACACACCTTCACTATAAAGTCGAGCAAACAAATAATTGTTTTTAGGTAGTTATCTTGTTAAATTTCCAAGAAATGCACGGCGAGTCGTCCCTCTGCACGCTCCTGTGAACCAGCTTTTGAAATGTGGCTGATTGTTACATTTTTTTTCATTCAATCTTTATTTAAACAGGTTAGACCCATTGAGCCACGAGGACTCGTTTAAAAGAGACCTGGAATTTGACCGTCAAAGTGCATTTATTAAGAAATATTTAAACTGAGACACACATTTACTATAATTTTGAGCAAACAAATAATTGTTTTTAAGTGTTAATCTTGTTAAATTCTTGTAAAAGTCCTCCCGTGCACGCTCTCGCGGCTGCCATTTGGCAGGCAATCGATTTTTGGCACAACACCGGCTCACATTTCCGGGTTGTCAGCGATGATGCATAATAGATGCGACTTATACGGCGAAGCGATGCATTTATGGATTTTTCCAAATTACTAGACATTTTTGGACAGATGTGACTTATAGGCCGGAAAATACGGTAAAATGATCAAGTGATGGGTGACTGCTTGTGCACAAGTGGATAACAAAATTTGAGCATTTTTATGTTTGTAAAATTTTAATTATTTTATCTTTGAAGGAAAAAAAAAGGCCACGATGGTGGCATCATGGGCGCAGGGCGTGTTTTAAAAATTTATGAGTGATAATAGATAATAGAGAAGTCTGAAAAACAGAAAGCGACTCACACAGTTTCTTCCCCAGGGACTGTATTTGGGATGAAACTCTTTACCTTTGACTCCACATCGGCGTTGTGGTCGTTCTGGAGGAGGAGGGCGGCGGCCTTGGTGTCGTCTTTCCGTGCCGCGATGTGCAGCGCCGGGAGGCGAACCTTCCCTTTCGTATCGTTCTCCAGCAGGAGGGAAACCACTTGATCATGTCCCTGCTGCAGCGCCACCGCCAGGGGCGTAAACCCATCCTGTGGAGAGGAAATCATTAGTCGTGCATGAAATATGTTTTCAACACACCTCCGGTAACGGTCCTCATCAACGGCTCCTCTGCACTGCAGTGCAGATAAAACCTACGTAAAATCAACAAATGTCTGTTTTCTCCAACTGAACTCAACCAGAATGAATTTAAACTGCTTTAAAGTGGTTAGCTGCTCTTTTCTGCAGCTGTTGCATCGCTGAGTAAAAGTTCCTTATATAAATCAAACCGGAGCCTCGGCTGTCGTTAAACAGACGAGAGACATTCAGGGTCAGCTGCAGGGCCGTGCCTCAGGCGTCCATTCTTATGTGCTTTTTAATAACGCCACCATCTGCATTTCTTTTCAGTGTGGGCAAAAAATACAGAAACGCAGAAATGAACTGTCCTTTTCTTCTAAAGTAGACCAGACCTTTAAACGTCCATTCGCTGTTCGTAACAACACAACGGAACAAAAGGATCCTCAGCAAATTAACTTACAGGGTTGTGTTTTTACCATTTCTACAATTATGGCTCAATCCATCAAACCCCACCGAACCAAGGGGTCAATATCAGCGGTTTGAAAATAAAGAGCCCCAAATTAAACCCATTTAGCAACAAATAAAGCCAGACTCACTACAGTGCACAAATGAGTTTTCATATGTTTCTGCTTAAAGTTTCTTAGGATGCAGCAGAATTCATGTCTAGTTAAAGCAAAACTCTATTTAAGTTTCCAACTAGGCCTGTCACGATAAACAATAAATCAATTAATCGCACGATAAATTAAAATTATCGACCTCATTTTCATTTATCGGCTTCATCATTTATTCATTTCTCGCTTTCTACTGAAGACACTGGATGACAAAAAGCTCAACTCCGGTGCTCTCCACTGACCCCTCCCTTTCTCTTTAAAATTTGTCTTAACCATCCAAATTTGCGTTTTGGGATCATTAAAAGTAGCTAAGCTGAGAAGCTAAGCTACGAGCTAAGCTAACAGGCCGACATCGGGAAAAAACCTCTGTCTTGTCAAAGCTCCAAGATTCACGGTTTAAACCCGTGCCTTTGTGTAAAAAGTTGTTCTTCTCTGCAAAAAGAAGCTGAGAACTTGTTTACTGATTTTTTTTTTAATTAAAAGCATTGCGTGAAAAATGCTATGATAAAGAGCTCAAACTACAACGAGCGTCCGTACAGGAAAGAGAGACAGCCCATGCAGTGTTGCCAGGTGAGGAATGTAGGATTATCGTACTAGAGACATAAAATTATCATATTTTGAGGGAAATTATCGTAACCCCCGTCATAACCAAAATAACCAGTCTACTGATGCGCTATAGTCACTCTAGTGTTGAATAGCGTCTAACAGGCATTCATAGCTTTGTCAGTATGGAATGGATTCATCAGCAGCCACTCAGTTGCGTTAGGCTAATGCGTCCTCCATAAACAATGACGGGTGGGAACTAATAAGCCCCACTTCCATTTTTTCCCACTCATTTACATCGCTTCTTCTTCCAGACGTGTTCCGATTCTTCTTTTCTTTTTCTCACTCATGCGGCGGGCGCAGCGGACTTTTCAGCCAATCATGGCCGTTGTTCTGAGGCAAACGCATACACGTCACTCGTAGGTCACATTTAGAAAAGCACGATTGGCTGGAATTTCCAGCCAATGGTGCATCTGTTTCTGGACACTGATGCCTTCAGGGTTCACAAAAAAACTCAGACAGACTGTTGCGACAGGCTGATGACAACCGATCACAACCACACATTCACGGAATGGTCAAATTATTGTATATTTGGCCTTTTTTGGGATTATTGATCATACATCGTACAGAAAGCAAAACTGTTGTACAAATACAATAATTATTGTACACCTGGAAACACTGAGCCCATCACGTCAAGGGGCCTCCCTCCCATTTTTCTTAAAGAGACACGCTGCTCGCTCTCTCACTATCCATCCTTCGGGTCTAACAGTCTTATACTGCCATCCAGTGGTCAAAAAAAGGTACTACACACAAAAATTTACCAACATTTCGTGTTCAATTTGACAATAATTACTAATTATTGTAAAATTGCAAACAATATTATCGTTTATCGCAATAATTTCTGAGACAATTAATCGCCCAGCAAAATCTGTTATCGTGACAGGCCTAGTGATGTATTTTAGGGTATTCGCTTGTTAAAAGATTTAAGGTTTTATCATTTTACTAACATTTTACATCAGTAAAAAGCTGTTAGATGCGCTGAAGAAGTGGGGAAAACCCCAAAGCATGAAAAGGTTTTCTCTATAAATCTTTTCAATGAATACCTGATTGCACGAAGATGTTTTATAAACTCTTTACAGAAAGAACTGTACAGATGATGTGAGGAGAGATGTTAGCAAAAACTTGAAACTGGCTGTAACAAATGTGTTGCAGCTGATTGTTCTTTGAATATCTGTCAGATTTTTATATAAAACAGACTGCAGGACCGAAAGCATCAAACAGATAATGTTTAGTAAAGCAAGACAAAAAGAAAACAGCTTAGCTGGTTGAAAACTCTGCTTAAATATGATGATTAAAAATAAACTGCTAATGGACACTCGGAGAGCAGCAGCGATGCTGCACACATCGTGTTCCTGAGGTAGAGCGAGAACTAAGAGACGAGCCGAGGCTCTGAGCAGCTTCCATGGATCATCGGCGAACACGAGAGATTTCCTCTCACGTGGAAAACAACACAGATCGTGTTTGTGCGTTTACGCAGGACGCCGAGCGCCTGGATAACACCGACTCAGCATCGCCACACGCCCACACATCAAAGCAGAACCTTCCCTCAGAGATGCTGATTCAGAGGAGAGCTTCTCCACACACACACATGCACAAACAGAACACACACTCATACCTCATCCTCAAACACACGCAGAGCCACACCCGGAGGAACACCAATTTATCCTGCTGTATCAAATCAGCTGCTTTTAAGGCTTTCAAACGAGGACAGGAAGTCCAGAGCAGAGCTCTCCTGTTCCATCTGTTCTTTAAGCTACGTTTTATTTTAATCTCGACATGAAGCAGCCCAGTTTTATGGTGTGGTTACAAAACCAAACCGTTTTAACCACCTCTGTCGTCTACAGCATATCTGGAATCGGGTCGTGGAGACAGTAGGTCCAGGAGACAGTAGGTCCAGGAGACAGTAGGTCCAGGAGAGAACCCCGGACCTCCTTGTCCTCAGCGACACACTGCATTTCCTCCTGGAGGATGCCAAAGCGTTCCCAGGCCAGAGAGGAGATTTAATCCCTCGAGAGGGTTCTGTGTCCACCCCGGGGTCTCCTCCCAGAGGGACATGCCTGGAAAACCAGGAGGCATCATGATAAGATGCTCGAACTTCCTCAACTGACTCCTTTCAACGAGGAGGAGCAGCAGCTCTACTCCGAGCTCCCTCCAGACGATGGAGCTTCTCACCATTTAACATCAGAGTCAGATATTCTTTATTGTCATTCGCACCTCATGTGGTACATGTGGTGGAGCGAAATTATGTACACAGGGTCCCAGTTACATCCAACAATAAAATGTAAAAGAAAAACAACGATAACATCTAAGATATGAACTAAGAAAAACATCAACTAAATATACACTAAGCACTCGTAACATAAAAACATCACGTCGAACATCAGCACAAACATGAACACGAGTCTGTGTGAGCAGATGAGCATCAATCAATCAATAACCAGAGAAATTGCATTTCCTGCAAAAATGCAGTGTGAATGTTTATTGCTGAAGAACTTGCTGAAAAATAGCTGAAATTAGCTAAAACCATGCTGAAATTTTGCTGAAATGGAAGAACAAGTCTGTTAGCAGAAGACAGCAGAAATAACACATATTTGCTGAATTTCATTTAAGTAAGCAAAAACGAGAACAAAAATGTGTAAATGAGCTTAAAAAAAGAGGCTGAAATTAGAACAAAAAAATTGCTGAAAAGTAGCTGAAAAGGCAGAAAGAAGCTTAAATTACCAGAAGGAATAGCACAAATGTGCCCAATTAGGCTGAATGAGCAGAAATGAGCACAAAAAGGTGGAAATTAGCTGAAAAAAGCAGAAATATGCTAAAAAACCAAAAAACAAAACAGCTGAATAGTAACTAAAAAAAGCAGAAAGAAGCTTAAATTACCAAAAGGAAGTAGAGAGCACAATTTTGCTGTTTTAGGCATTAAAAAAGTTTAAATGAGTGCAAAAAATATGGAAGTAGCTAAAAAAGATCAAATCAGCACAAAACAGCTAAATAGTAGCTGAAATAGTAAAAATTGTTGAAACTTGCAGAGATAAGCTGAAAGGAGCATAACAAGCTAAAATGTGCAGAAAGAAGTTAGAAGAAGCACAAACATGTTGTAGTTAGCAGAATAAAGCAGTAAAGAGCACAAAACAGCAGAACAAACAGCTAAAATTAGCTGAATTTCTTTTTTCAATTTGCACAAAGAAGCCGAAAGGTGCTGAACCAGAACAAAAAGTGAAAGGAGCAGTAAAAGGTTGTAAACAGATCTAAAGATTTGAAGGATGTAAAATGAATGCAATTCATTTTCTGAATGCTTCAAAAGCATTCACACAATAAGATCAAACACAAACAAACAAACAAACAAACAAACAAAAGAAAGAAAGTAAAAGAAGCAGAACATTAGATTAGCTTAAAGCCAGAAGTAGCAAAGTGCTAGATAAAATAAAAAAATTAAAGGCAAGCTATGAAGTAAAAGCAGCTAAAACCAAAAGAAGAAAAAGAGTAATGAAGTAAGAAGCAGGTAAAAGCTAAGCTAATATTTAAAAGTAACACAGAATAGCTACAAGCTAAAATTAGCAAAAAGACTACAGTTAGTTAAAAGCTACAAATAGCAGAACAGTAACTAAAGGTCAACAGCAGCTAAAACCTAGCTAAAACACAAAAGCATTAGAACAGTAGCAAGAAGTACAAAAGGCTAACTAAAAGCTAAAAGTAGCAGAACAGTAGCTTAAAACTAAAAAAAATAGCAAAAGAAGGGAAATACAGTGCAAGTTTGCTGAAGCAGATTTTAATAAGAATGTTTTGAAGAAAGTGAGGAGCTCTCAACGCATTTCTAAAAAGGAAAATGTTTGTAAATAAAGTTAAATATTTTGCGAAAACTATAAAAGTTATTAAAAAACAAAATCACAGCACCCCTTTCCTGCACGAGCTAAACATCTGGATTTACGAATGGCTAAAACAGCTCAAAGTCTGCACACAGACGCAGAGCAGTTCCGCCTGCAAAATTAAAAAAATATCTGCGATAAACAGATTAAAATAATATGAAATGCAAAAAGAAACAAGGAATGTTCAGATGTATTCTGCCGCGAGCCGTGTTCAAATGCCTAAACATGAATTAATGAACACACAGAGATGCTTCCAACATGGATATAGATTTCCTCGCATGAATTATTCACCATTTGTCCCACTGGAGGACTGAGGGGGTGGGGGTGGAAACAGGCCGGGGAGGAGACAGATGCAGACAAAAAAGGGAACGATGGATGGGAGAAGGAGCTGGTTGTGAAATGTCAAGGACAAAGGTCTGAAAACATCACGTTTACTTCCAAAAATGGCAAACAGGAAGCATCAAGTTCAGAGAAACTAAAGGGCAGAGCCTCCTTTTAGAAACATTTAACCACTTGTTTTGTATTAAGCTAAAAAATAAATGTGTTTAAAAAAACATAACAGACTCAAAGTCTCAAACAACAACAAAAAATATAATACAATAAATATAAATTTGTATACATGAAGCCTGATACGTCTTATTTTGTGCCTTGGAGCTCTTCGGTTCTGCCACTGCAGCACCAAATGTGTATCAGTCCGCCTCTGAAAATAGTCCCCAGCAGTTAAAGTGCACCTCACTTTGGTTAAGTAACAAATATAAACACGTGTTTTCAACATCAAAACCATATTTGTACGCACTAAGAATCCAAAATAACACAAACTTTATATTCTTATATCTTTATTGGATTTATTTAAAATATTCAAAGCTTTGAAGCTCATGCTGTACCTTTTTTGTTAGATGTTTTTATGACATGAGGGCATAAACAAAACAATAACCAGTGTTTAAAATAAAAGTTTGACTAACATTAAAATTACATGTCTATCCAGCTGTTCATGTTTCATAGTAATATGAACAGTACTATGAAGTATTCTTCATAGTATAAATGCCAAAGTTCATCTCAATAATCCAGGTAAAAACCCAACAATGTTCAGTCAGGTCATCTGGATGGTTTCTTTTTTTGCTGAGACGTTTCGTCCTTCATCCAAAGGACTTCCCTAATCTGAGAAGCCACCAAACAAAACTGATTCGCATAAACAGCACACACCATAACAGAACAAACTTTGGTGTTCTGAACCACTTTGGCATGACCGTCTCAGAGGAGTTGACGAGGGAGAGGGATGGCCCCAGAGGCCATCTTAGCGCCAGCACACTTTTTTTTCCCCCACTATGGAGTATGCTGTTTGTGGGAATCAGTTTTGTTTGGTGGCTCCTCAGATTGAAGAAGTCCTTTGGATGAATTACTTCCTCAATCTGGGAATCAGTTTTGTTTGGTGGCTTCTCAGACTGAGAAAGTCTTCTGGATGAAGGACTTCCTCAATCTGGGAATCAGTTTTGTTTGGTGGCT